CCCCCAAACTTAACTCCCAACCAATGTGGGACTTTGGCATTTTGCCAAACTTCAACAGTTAAACTGGTGGCGTTAGGTATCTCAAGGTTGGATGACCCAGAGGAATCTTTTCCTATGCTTGAAACGCTTGTTATAAAAATGTGTCACAAGCTTGAGGAGATTCCCCCTAGCTTTGCAGATATTGAAACATTGAAGCAGATTAAGTTGATTGGGCGCAGGCCACAAACTCTGGAGCCTTCAGCTGTGAAACTTAAGGAAGACATCGAAGAGATTGAAGGATGCAGCCGTCTTAACCTCATTATGGACGTAAGTAGAACCAAACTCCTACATTCTGTTTTTGAATATCAACGTGCATCTAATGTACAAACAATATGTTCGATACAGGTTTGGATCAGTAAGCACCATAGCCGGCAGCTACGACTTCAAGCACAAGCTCGTCGAGAGAACATGGTATTGTTTCAGTTTTTCTTGTTCCTTCTTTTTTTAAAAAAAAAATTAAATTAGATGCTTGCTTTCTCTAATTGTTATAGCCATGCTCATGCTGGGATTGATCAACTAGGGCTCATGCCTAGTGGGAAAAAAATTAGCCTTCGTCAGTTCTATAAGCATAGAAATGCAGGGTAAGGCTGCGTACAATAAACCCTTGTGGTCCGGCCCTTCCCCGAACCCTCTCATAGCGAGAGCTTAGTGTATCGGGCTGCTCCTTAGGTTGTTTGAGTAGATTCAATCTTGATTCACTTGTATATATAACCTCTGCCCTGGCTGCTTAACTCAACATTAAACTTCAAATTTAGAATCATCAGACTGTCTTTGTCCATCAGCTCATTAGTTTGCTAATCGGCACTTGTAATGTTGCCAATATCAGAAGCAGCTGGCTGGCAAGGTGCAAGTCCTTGTACAAATTCTCCTTTCTCTTTGAAGTTTGTTTCATATCTGCAATTGAACTTAGTTTTAGCTTAATGGAAATTCATCCACCTCGGTGTAATCAAAGGAGTGCTTAAAGCACGCTTAAGCCCTGAAGCGAGGTTCAGAACATGTTGAGCTCTTTGCCTCGCTTACCGCGCGCTTTAGATGTTGTTGTCAAGGCTCTAAAGCAATAAGCGTAATCCCGAAGAGGTGAAACTAAACAATTGATATTTCACTTCATCATAAATTTTCTTTAATTTCTTTGTCCATATATTTGGTATTCATGCTTATAGATATTATTCTTGGATTACACATACATATTTGTAGTTTTTTCTTCATTTGCACCTTTCTTCATTGAAGCCCACACTTTATTTGCGCTTTTCGCTTTTGATACCGCTGATCCACCTGTTGACATTCACCAAGTCATAAAGTTGCTTATTGTTCTGAGTCATTGAGCAGCTGGCAATAGTACCTTTTTCGGACGAGATACAAATTGACAAAGCAGAGACAACTGCAGCGAAACATACAAAATGAACAAATTTGATAACTACAATATAAAGACCTGATAAGCCTTTCTTAGAACAAAGCAACCTTAAGCATAGACATCAGGTTTTATTAGGATATAGTCTTCAACGGCTTTGTTTATAGCCAAGACCTTCTCCTTTCCTGCCTTTATTTCAGCTGACTGCTCAAACTTCACGTCTTATTTGTTTACTCAAGGTTGTTAAACAAGACAACATCTTCGATCAATGTGCATTTGTACTTGTGCATCTCCTCGTAAGCTCATCAACACGATACTTTATGGACTTAAAATTGCTACATATGCACACAAAAGAAGGAAATTAACCAGATTTATCATTTTATCTTCATAAATGTTATCTACTAAGCACACCTCAAGAAAATTCCAACTCGGTATTCAGAAAACAACCAAACTTCTGCTCAACATAAAGTTTTCATATTTCAGTGACCAGTAAAGGAAATCAAGAAGACAAATGTCAAGCATTGTGGGGCAAGTCATTCATTGCAAAGGTACGACGTTTGTTTCATTCCATTTCTTATACATAATGTAAACTTTCTTGGTTTCCTTTTTTTTTTTCCTCATTTTCTTTTTGAGAATTTTGGCAGTGATGTTGAGCTAATGATGATGTGTTTTTACAGCTGCTATGGCATGGGAGCCAGGAAAGCCGTTACTGATCAAGGAAGTGGAGATGGCACCTCCAAAAAAAAAAATGGAAGTTCGTCTTAAGATCTTCTCCGCTTTCCTCCGCTATACTGATATCTACTTCTGGGAAGAAAAGGTAATAAAAAACTGGTTACAGTCAAAAACTTTCCTACTTTCCAGCAAATACCACAATCTGTTTGGGTCGATTTTTTCTCTCAACTCCTTTGGAAATTGTAGGAGCAAAACTCAGTGTTTCCTCGCATTCTTGGACATGAAGCATCAGTGTAGGTTATTTCAATTGATTGATTCATTGATCGTCTCTAAAACCAAAAAAGGGTACTAAACAGATTTTGTTGTTTTATTGGTTTTGATTTTGTGAATATTTAGGATTGTGGAGAGTGCTCACGGCAAATTAGAAGAAAGCAATATGTGCCAGCCCATTAAGGGTTTATACTGACCTTTAGTGAACACACCGTAGTTCATGTTGTTGTGAAAATCAACCCCTTTGCTCCTCTTGACAAAGTTTGTGTCTTCAGTTGTTGAATTTCAAGGAGAAACAGCGATAAATTATGTACCTTAAATAGTAGTTTCTTTAAAGGGGTTCAATTGTTGATTAATGGGACGATTCATTCGTGGCCTTGGTGCAACTTTGAATGTAGCTAAACCAGCAAAAAGCTCAAGTGTGGTTACATTTTGACTGGGAGCTGTAGGCCTTGCTGTGAGTCTCCATATTGCAAAAATGAGACTGCAATATATGTATATATATATATATATATCTAGCAATAAAGGATTCAATACATTTGATGCCTCTGTCCAACGTCATGGGACGATTGCTGAGACACAGATTATTGCACCATTTGATTAGAGTTACCAAAGTACAACAACAACGACGACGACGACCCAGTATAATCCCACAAGTGGGGTCTGGGGAGGGTAATATGTACGCAGACCTTACCCCTACCCCGAAGGGTAGAGAGGCTGTTTCCAGGAGACCCTCGGCTCAAAAAAAGCACCAGGAGCCGATATATTAGTACCATAAAAATGCATAATAAAATAACAGCAATATAAGAGATATTAAATACAGAGTACGAAATACGAAATACGAAATACGAAATATATGGCTGGTATAGTAAAACTAGCAGGTAAAGCCCTACCTCACTAGACGACCAATGACATTCTTAGTCTAACTCCTAACTGGCTAGTCTCATTTTATTGTGCTGTAGAAATATTCACAACTTTCCCCTAACCTACAACCTTAATGCTCGACCTCCATAATTCCCTGTCAAGGGTCATGTCCTCAGTAATCCTAAGTCGCGTCATGTCCTGTCTGATCACCTCTCCCCAATACTTCTTAGGTCGCCCTCTACCTCTCCGCGTGCCCACTACAGCCAGTCGCTCACACCTCCTCACCGGTGCATCAGTGCTCCTCCTCTGAATGTGCCCGAACCATCTGAGTCTTACTCCCCGCATCTTGTCCTCCATGGGGGTCACACCCACCTTCTCTCGAATATCTTCATTCCTAATCTTATCCATCCTTGTATGCCCGCATATCCACCTCAACATCCTCATCTCTTAAATATTCAGTTCAAATGTGCCTCATCAGTTGATGCCATATGTTCTTTTATTTCCATCCAAGAGGGGCTACATTCATGTCATAGTTATAAGCAAAATAAGTAGAGAGACGCTCGCTGCAATAATGCAATAGCATTTGTATATCGTTGATGCAAATCACTAGGCCCTCCTATAAAAGAACTTGTCTTTGCCTCTACGGGAAGATTCACCTGTCTAAAACTATTAATATCTCAGCCTCTGAATGATCAAGTTTAATATATTTGTCCACTGAATACTGCTGAAATATTCTTCTAGTATGTAATAATACTAGATTAGCTGTCTCTCTGTTTTAATAATTATTTGTCTCTTCAGCTATCAATGAAGTGAATTTGCTGAACCATGATTTGTTGTTATCTAAGGTTAAATTTGGAAACAAAACATTATTCACCGCATTATCCCATTTTCAATTCGATCGACTTCATTAAATGTGAAACTTACTATAGGCGTAGATGTCATGCGTAGCATCGCGCATATATTTATATAAAGCAAATACTGCAGCGAAAGATCGTGAGTTAATTAGCACACAATCATACACAAAGCAAGTAGAAAAGAAAAATAACACATGAATTGAACGAAGTTCGACTAAGCTTAGTCCACGGGCAGAAGCAAAGAGACGAAGAGTACAATATAAAGAATCTCTACCTACAACCCTTATATATAGATTTCAAGTAGGAGTTTTTGACCAATATTATCCCTTATATTTGAGGGTAGGTCTATTTTGGTACCTCAAATATAACCCTGAGCATATTTAATCCTTTAAGTATGATAAAGTAGAGCAGCTTTAGTCTCAGTGACATAATGTGTTAAAAAACTAACGATGTTACCCAATCTTCCGCTCTAAAGCAAAATGTTTCCTCTCCTTTTATTGGATAACGTAAATTATCACTTTAATTCCTCATTTTTAGGTAATGTTTTCTAAAATTTTGACCTTGGAAATGGAAATATCACCTTCTGCGCCAGTTTCCAATTTGGTTATTCATTTGCTTCAATAATTGTCTAGCTAGAATTCATCATGGCGGCTCTATTTTTTCAAATTTCAACTTTTGTTTTTGAAAAATCAACCGAATTTTTAAAAGTAAAAAATTTTATTTTAAATTCTCAAATTTATCAGCTCTGTACTAGAAAATTTTAAAATCTCAAATTTACCAGCTTTGTACTATTTGTCCCGTTGAGCTTTAAATTATTGCTCTGAGAGTTGGATACAATCTTTTTTTTTTCATTTTGGAGAACAGTGGAAGGAATGGCTTTTCTTCAAGGATATATAAGAGAGAAAACTATCCTCTATAGCCCCTCAAAATTTTAATAGCCCATGTTCTGGCCCACTTACAAGAAATGGCCCTTCGGCCCAAACATATTGGATATAGCAGCCGAAAGGAATGAGAATTACAAAACAAGCACCTGTAGCTCAGTGGATAGAGCATCTGTTTTCAAGCTGAAGGTCGTAGGTTTGATCCTCCCTGGAGCGATAGAGTAGCCCTTTTTTGCCTTTTTAAATTGTATTTGTACTTCTGGATCTGATAAATATTAGCTAAGAATAAAATGAAATATGTAATGCATGTCATATACGAAATGTCTATTTTATATATTTTTTGTATAATAACAGTCTATTTTTGTATATTTTTTGCATAGTGACAGCTTATTTTGTATATTTTTTGGTATAATAACAGTCTATTTTGTATAGTGACAGTTTATTTTGTATATTTTTTGGTATAATAACAGTCTATTTTGTATAGTGACAGTTTATTTTGTATATATTTTGTATAATGAGAGCTAATTGTATTTAAATTGTATAGTGGCAGTCTATTTAGTATATTTTTATATAATGATAGTCTATTTTGTACATATTTTGTATAATGAAAGTCTATTTAGTATATTTTTTGTATAATGACATTCGATTTTTGTATATATTTTGTATAGTGACACTCTATTTGTATATAAATTGTATAATGACAGTCTGTTTTGTATATTTTTTGTATAGGGACAGTCTATTTAATATATATATTGTATAATGACAGTCTGTTTTGTATATTTTTTGTATAGGGACAGTCTATTTAATATATATATTGTATAATGACAGTCTAATTTGTATATTTTTTTGTATAGTGACAGTCTATTGTATATCAATTATAAAATAACAGTTTATTTTATATGTTTTTGTATAGTGACAGTCTATTGTATATCAATTATAAAATAACAGTTTATTTTATATGTTTTTGTATAGTGACAATTTATTTTGTATATATTTTGTATAGTGACAGACTATTTAATATATTTTGTATAATGAAAGTCTATTTGTATATATTTTGTACAGTGAAGGCTATGCATGAGATAAAAAATTAAAGACAATTGAGACCTAAAGTTAGACTATGCATTAGTTTCCGCCATCTTTGTTTCTCCCACAAAATGCAATAAGTCAAAAACCTTCAGCTCCATTACTGCTGCTATGGCCACAACAGCACAAAGAAACCTCTCAATTTTCTATGCTAAAAAAGAAAAAGCAACGAAAACAAGAGCTAGAAACTAACGCCTCTTCTTCAGATTTTGGACCCTCTCTCTTTCTCTCAAATGAAAAACCAGCAAACACATACAAAGAAAGAGATCACATTTTCCCTTCTTCGAGGACGCCTCCCCTCCTTCTGACTTCACCTTCTTTGTGTTCTCAACTGAAAAGAAACACACACACAAAATTTAAATAGCACAAGATTGGGGGTGGGGAAAAACAGAGAGAGCACACGAAAAATAGAGGCTAAAGCGAGTGAGTAAGAGAGATCAAAATCACCACTGTTGGCCACCATTATTTGCTGAAACTGTTTGGTTTCAATTGAAAACCTTCAGATCTGCTTAAACTGACTAGAGAAAGGAAAGAAAAAAAGAAGACCTTGCCTCTGTATAAATATTGGGTTTGAAATGTAAGGAAGGACTGTGTTTTGATGATAGTTAGGTCGGTGGCTAGTCTTTTAATTAGTTTTGGGCTACAAAATATATACTGTAATTTTGTGGCTAGCGGCTGATATTAGTTTCTAGCGGCTGGCCATAAATGAAGTTTGCTCTATATAAGAAGCTCTTTTTCATTTTGATCTCCCGCTCTACTTTTTATCTCTTTCTTAGCTTTCCAACCTCTTTGCTTTTACCACTTTTCTTCCATATTTTTGGTAGGGGGCGAACAAATTCACATAGAATATAAAAAAAATTGGCCAAAATCATACGCATCCACTTAAACTTGTTTAGATTTTCCTCTCTCACACTTATCTAAGTCATATTTCAATTGAACATCTATATTACTCAAAATTGTTCCTATTAAACACTTTTTGCTGACATGGCATGGTGTGTGTAATAAACCTCAACCAGCGCGTGAAGAGCATATATTTATCCCCTTTTTTTAAAATCTCTTCTTCTCCGTTCTCTCTTTGCCGCCGCTTCCTCCACCATCAACCACCATCCTGCTGTCGCCATTCTCCGACGCAACCACCACTGCAATAATCATTTTCTTCATCTTTTTCAGATCTGGAAACCATCCCCTTCTTCTTTTTCTTTAAATCCGACAACACTTGTTATATTGCTATTTTATTTGCCGTAAAAAATGGAGATCACCACCACTCTCTTTCTTCTCCCTCCCTCTCTTCTACTAGAAAAATTTAGATCTATAACCACAAAATAATCAGATCTAAATATTAAAAAAAAATGAGGTGGAAGGGGACGACGGTGGCTGGGGGGAGGGGGGGCGACAAGTGGCTCGTAGATTTATTGGGTAAAAATTTATCTAGCATTTAAAGTTTATAGGTTCCTACAGCCACCTCAAATTAATATATTTTAATTTTTAATAACCGATCTAAGGAACAAGTACTGATCAATATATATATTTAAAAGAGTAACGAACCACTTAAATACGGCATAAGTACCAATGTTTGGTTCTCTTTTTAATTTAACTTTTAGTCATTTGTTATGTTTTGTTCTTAAAAAAAGGAATAAAAGAAACAGAAGAAAGTGTATATGTAGGGCCAAGATGTTTGTAAAGCTTCGTGGAAAAAACGAGAAAAAAACAGAAAAGGGAGGTGTGGTTTGTTTGGTAAGAAGAAGAAATTGAGAGGGAGGGTTGTGGTTCAGAAAATGGTTTTTCTTTTTTCTTAATCATTA